ACAAAGTAGTATTTATTATGAAACTTTTTAATAACTACTCTTAAAATACTAAAAATAAAATAGCAGCAATTAATCTTTATTTAAATGGTAATTTAATGTGTTAAGAGCCCAAAATGAAACTAGTCATTAGCTCAATAGTAAAGACTGCCAGAAGCTTCATTACTGATTAATAATGGAGAACACAGTGTACTGAAGTTTCCCCTAATCCCAGAAGCAACTAGGAACTGAACTGCAAAAACTTTCAATCCTAATAAATTGATTAAGCAATCATAATTTTCTTTATAGTTATAATTACTGGATATAGCATAGCTACATTTTCATACTTATCTACATTGATCAAATCTGTATTTTAAAAACAGCATATCATATATGTTATGAAGACTTCTTGTTCTGTAAATAGGTTAAAAACCCCATAACATATCCTTCCATCAGGTGACTATTAGGTATGTTAGGACAATGGATTTAGTTACTTCTAATAAACACAAAATTTCTATGATAAAATTTTTGCTTTAATAGTTTCCTTGCTAGCAGAAGAATACTAACAATATTTAGTGTAAATAGATTTAAGAAAGTTTGCCAGTTAATTCCAGCTGATGTCAATACTTTATCTTGCTGATTGAGATTGTCACTTACAGAAATCTTTTTTGTTTCATCCAGTTTCCAAGAGATATTTAATAAATACAACCACTTACGATCCAAAGAAAGCTGCAAATCACTGAATTGCTCCCAAGTTCTTTGAATAAATGCAGAAGTATATGACAGTAACTACTACTACTAACATAGCTACTTAAATGGGAAAAGATACAAAAAGTAAACCTTTATGGTGAAACTGTTCTACAACACCTTTGAACAGACACTAGAATTAAACAATAATTTATAATAATTTCATTTAGAAATAAAATAAAATTATTAAGAGGAACTGCCCTCTGTGAAATCGATTCCTTCAACATAACCTTAAAGAACAGCCCCTTGGAAATAAAATGTGAATTCATTGTCACAGCAAATTTGACTTTCAAATCACTAATTAATTTAGTACTCTCAGCAGCTAACTGAAATAGCCATCATTTTTATAAGCCACTGAACTTACTGAAACTCACTGAATATTACCCTAGAACAAGAGCAATCACAACCACTACGCAATAACTTAAAAGTTCCGTATCGTGAACTCTGTTCAAAGTAGCAACATACAAAATCTTGCAATATCTATGAACTAGCATATCATTGGAAAAGAAAAGTTCCAGGCAGATCCCTCTAGCCAGGAAAACACTCTTTTTTCCATTTCTTCTAATCTATCTGCTACCAGATACAGGATTCAAAAGCTTGAGGAGTGAATGCTTCACATTTCTTTTGTATAATGAAGTACAGAGATCAAACATCTATCAAGCACTACCACTGATACCACTCAAAGCAAGTCAGCAGG